GGGGGAGGGGGCGGGGGAGGGGGCGGGGGTGGGGGCAGTGATGTGGGGGAGGGGAGGGGGCGGTGGTGCGGGGGAGGGGGTGGGGGTGATGTGGGGGAGGGGGCGGTGGTGCGGGGGAGGGGGCGGTGGTGCGGGGGAGGGGGTGGGGGCAGGCCTGAGACCCCCACCCTCCGCCCTGGCCTCCTGTCAGCCTGGCTTCTCGGTGCCATCCACATATGGGCCACAGGATGACAGTCACATATGGGCCACAGGATGACAGTCCACCAGCTCAGGCAGGAGTTGGGGGGGCTGACGCCAGGGCCCTGCACGGACCCTCGGCTGCCGCAGGCCCAGCCTGGCCCAGGAACCGATCTGGGAGTTCCTTGCAGGATGGGACAAGGGCAGGAAGAGGGCTGTGGAGGAAGGCCTGGGGGACACGGCCGCACCTCCATGGGGGCACTGGGCTTCCTGCCCATTCACCGGCCGGCAGCCCTTTGGCTTTAGGGAGGCCTGAGGCTCTCTGAGTGGATGTCTGGGCTGCAGGTCCCTTACCAGGCCAGGCCGCCCTGAGACGAGTGAGCACACCCCAGGGCAAGGCAGTAAGGTGACCCAGGACAGTGGGACCAACACTGTGGGGGAAGACCCGGGACAGCAGGAACCTGGAGCTATGGGCCTGGCTAGCTCTCGTCTGGGCAGGCTGGGCTAACCTGCCAGGAGGGGCACTTGCCGCCGGGCCCCCGGGGGTCCCACAGATCCTGGTGGAACGAGGTCCTCCTGAGGACAGAGTGGCTCCTGGGGACCCCAGTGTCTGGCCCTCAGACCCAGCGCCAGGGACCGAGTCCCTCCTCCTCCATTTCCCCACTGGACAGCAGAAGGCCAGATGGCCCCCATGAGAAGTGGGGGCTCGGGAAATAGGTGCTCCAGGATCTGTTGGGCCGGGCAGATGGAGGAGGAGCTGCGGTGAGCAGTGGCTCATCTGTTGCGGGGTCCAGGTAGGGTCTGGCTGTTGCCCCACCCCCTCCACTGTGCAGGACAGAGGCCTGGGGAGGCGGGAGGGCGCATCCAGGAGCCGTCCCTCCCTCCCTCCCTCCCTCCCTCCTGCAGTCACAGGACTCCCCCTGCACTCTCTGTGTCCCCCCCCCATTCACTGCTCTGAGCTGGACCCTGTGTGGTCAGCAGCTCTGAGCTGGGCCATCTCCGCCGCGGGGCCCCTGCTCAGCTGATGTGGGGATGGGGGATGGGGGGTGCGTCCGTGCTGGAGGCTGGCAGTGATGAGGCCCCTCCTGCCCCCCCACCCCACGGGCAGACCACGTGCTGCTTCGCGGCTCTCAGAGGGCGGGTGGGGGTGGCTGACCCGTGAGGGCAGGGCGCCTGCTCTGAGCCCATGGCACAGGTGGTGGTCGCTCAGGAGCCCCATGCCAGGACCTTCGGTCAGGCCGGCCCCCCTCCAGACCCACCCCCCTCCAGGCCCACCGCAGCACCCGGATAGCTCTGGATGCAGAGCCGAGGCTGAGAGCCCCCCGGGCCCTGCAGCCCAGGCGTGAGGCTGACGATGGGCATCTGCCTGAGGACGGCTGGGGTGGGAAGGTGCTCTGGATGCCAGTTGCTTGGGCCACAGGGATGTCAGGAGGTGGCCTCACCTTTGAGAGGTCATCGGGGCCATTCCCCCGCCTCTAGCCTGCCGGGTCAGACACAAGCCCGGGGCTCAGGGCTAGACTCGATCTCAGCCTCGGGGCTGGGGGTGCCGGCAGTGTGCCCCGGGGATGGCTCTCCAGGGCTGAGGCTGTCCAGGTGCCTGGTGGCTTCTCACTGGCCGGCAGCTGACAGTGTCCTCCAGCCTCAGACAAGGGACCCGCAGGGACCTGTGGACCCCACCCACCTTCTCCTTGGCAATCAGGTCTCCCCAGTGTGTGGGAAAGGGCTTTGAGCTGCTGGGCAGGGGCAGCCCCACTGGACCCCACCCCACCTCCTCAGGCCCTAACACCTGCCCCGGGGCTCACCCCACCCCAAGATGCTCCCCCCTTGGAAGGTGTTGAGGAGACTGGCTGGTGCGTCCCCAAAGGATTTAAGTCGGGAGAAGGCAGTGCCCTGGGTCAAGGAGAAGCTGCTAGACAAAATATTCTGGAACATCCCTGAAGGCCTTATCCCCTTCCCTGAGCCCTCCCCAGACCTGGATCAGCCGCATCTCCGGGCCGTACTGGGACCGAAGGCCTCCTTGGGCCGGTGGCCAGGGACCAGCACCCGCCTGAAGCAGAGGGCTGGAGGCAGCGTGGTTAATGCCCCTGGGTGGGACACTGGGACCCAAAAAGAGAGTGGGGGTGCCGGGTCTGCAGCCTGACAACACCAGGCAGGTGCAGCAGGGGCCAGCTCAGAGCTCCTCCCCCTGCCAGAAACTCCCTACGCCCCTCCCCTCCCGGAGTCCTAGGCCAACCCAACCTCCAGGGCCCTGCTGGGAAAGAGAGCCGCCAGGTTGCCAGGTGTCAGCAGAGAGAGAACAGGGGAGACTTGGGAAGTGAGTCTTGCGTGGTCTGGGCAGAAATCCAGAGATGGCCTTGTATGGGAGCACCTGAGTCCCGCTGCCTCTTTACCTTGAAGGGCAGCTCCCAGGGCTGGGGGCTGCCCTGGGAAGGGTGGAGGGCCTGCAGCAGGTCTGCCTCAGGAAGGGGTCTGACAGGGCATTGAGAAGAGCGGCCCAGCCCCCACCACCCTCCCACACGCCCCGCCGCCTCCCAT